TCAAATTTTAATAATTTTCATGTCAAAAATCCTTAATTTATTCTCTTCAACACAAGTTTTTGGGTGTAAATCATCATATTTGGTGCTGATGAGAGCTCTGGAATCCATCCTTGATGTGGATATTTTGTTTACATCAACTGCAAACCATTGTTTTAATTTTGCTTTTGATGTGCAATGCAACACATCCAGCACATCCCTTGACCTCCCCTGTTGGGATGTTGTTTGTTCAGCTCGAATTCATTTGCCCCTGAATGCTGAAAAATGTATGCGTTTGTACAAACTTTTGCATCTTGTGATAAATTCTTTGCCTCTCAAATTAAATTTCTTATATATATTTTTTTCTTTTTCATCATTCACATCTCTGATCATCCATGCAAAACAATTCTTCCTCTTGAATTTCATTTTTCTATTGTCATAATCCTTGCCATTATCTTTGGCTCATGTTCCATGTTCCTTCTCTTGTCCCTATCCTCTCATATTCCACCTCTTTGTCTGGTATTTTTACATGCATGTTCTTTGGGTTACTTTTTCTTTCTTCTTACCATCTTAATTGCTCTGTTCCCATCCATCTTTGTTCATGCAACTTATTTCTATTTTTCATTTTTTCTGGTTTTTTTTGCTAATTCTCTTCTGGTTCTTGTTTCCATTCTATGCATGCAACCCTCCATTCCACGTTTTTCCCTGCCTTGCATCTTCCTCCCCTCTCCTCTCTTCCCCTCCCCTCTCCACCTCTCTTCCCCTCCCCCTCTCCCCCTTTCTCCCCCTCCCCCTCTCCAGGATGAAGAGGAAGAAGAGGCTCTCTACTATGGTGGCCTCTACTGGAAAAGTTTCTAGTCCTCATCTGCACCGCTGCTTTACTGCACCATTAGTGTACATGGTCACCACTAGAACACGTCACGGCTGCACCATTAGTGTACATGGTGACCACTAGAACACGTCACGGCTGCACCATTAGTGTACATGGTCACCACTAGAACACGTCACGGCTGCACCATTAGTGTACATGGTCACCACTAGAACACATCTGCACCCCAAAATATGCACTATGTACTTTCTTCAAGCATGAATATATACATACATACATACAGTAGTTCACCTCTTACATCGCACGACCACATACTTCAAACAACTTCACTGCACCAGCACTGCAGTGTACTAAGGACTATATCATGTATGGTTCTTGTTTGGCAATCCTTGCACATTTCTTCTTATGTTGGTATAAAAAGTTTGCACCACAGTGCTCTACAACCTAATCAATTAGGTTGTCTAGTTGGAGGCATGAGTGAAAAAAAACCTAAACACAAATTATTGATATGGTGCTCTATTTCTGCATTGAGTGCATACAACTCTCAACTATCCTAATTAAATGATTCAATTTCAGTTGAACAATAATAGTTTTTTCTGTCTTCATCGGATATTCATCTTGTGCCCAAGTTTGAATTTTTGACTCAAATTTAAACCTCTACAAGTCACTGGTACTCGCACATCATTGCATTGTGAGCAGTGATGATTGCATTGCTGTATTCAGTGTTTATGCATCACAGTATTTCTCACCATCAATAACTTGCATTCTTTTTAACTAACTTTAGTAGGTTTTCTGTTTGGATTTTAAGATGGCTAATTTTTTATGGTTTACTGCATATTATGGTATTTGGGTTAAAACAGCCATAGAAATATAATTGCCCTGTTTTTATGCTTGAGTTCATTTTTTCTGAATTTACTTCCTTTGTTTTCATTGTTGTTTTCATTGTTAAAGAATTGCAGTGAGTCTTTACTTCAAGGACTGATTTTATGACATCAATCACTACAACTGAATTAGTCTTTTAATTCAGCAAACAGGGACCAGTTTGATGATATTTTGCTTTATTTCTATCTACCATTCCTGTATTTTGCCCGGCATTGTAGAATGTGTACAATACAAGCAGCCATAGCCTGCTACTTGGCCAGTCTATTCATTTACCAATGCTTATTATAACTAATTTTAATCTGGAGTTGCTTTAGTGTAATTGGTCATTGTTTTAATGGTTTGGATGACTACAAGATTCATTTGTTTATTAGTTGGATTTTGGTGCTCTTAATCATTTGAACCATAATTAACTATTGTATAGGTGAAATAGGTATAGGTTTTACCTATAGGTATTGGTAAATTTATTATCATGAATTTAAGGTGCATGCTTTGCATTACTGTAGTTTATGTTGATAGCTCAGCATTCTATAGATTGGAAAAGGATAATAATAATAAGGTTTAATATTCATTCATGTGTGATGTGAAACTTTGAATATTTTGTGTAATTTGGATCAACATGAAAGAGAAAAATGCTTCTGATTAAAAGTAGGTATCTGAAATTGCAGCCTATAATATAAAATTTTTAACATAAAATATTGTGTTGTGTAAATTTTCTTCCATCGATATGGAGAGATTTTAATTTGTACCAAATATGAATTTGGTTGGGCCCAATCAATATCCTTTGCGTCACACTCCTGCATGTAATCATGTAATGCGTCTTACTCTACTCAATATGCATTATTTCATAGACCAAGCTCATGTTTATGCCATATTTCTGTGCCATCATGAAAATCTTATGAGTTTTCTTGACCAGTCACAAATAGTGTGCCATTGAACTTCTAGTTATTAGCATTACATTTGAATTTCTATTTAGATATCATGTACGCTATTAACTTTCCCATTATATTTATGCTGGTGCTTCCATCAACATTTTCTTACTTACCTATGTTTACCCTGGATGCCCAATTTTAGTTAAATATCTTCTACACTATTTTCTATACCTTTTATTCTAACTTTGTTCCTGGACGGAATCGATTTAAAAAATAAAGTGAAATTTCTAATACCAAATTCATTCCCTCCTAAGAACTCAAATGGTGCCCCATTGCTGAAAAAAAAATTAGCATCAGATATATGAACTGTGAATTTTTGCGAGTATCAGCGCGGGAAGAAATGCGTTCTATAGGCTTTATATATTGCAAATAGTTGAATTTATTCATTGTGAATTATTTTTTTGTAAATTTATGCGTGTTGGAAAACCAAACCGGCCGGCAATCGCGGAATTTTCGAATGAATAGACTTTGTTTCTACAGTGCTTTTTCTACCCGTGGCCAAAGTACAAGCCAAGCACTGTTGTGACGTATTAAAAAAAAATTAACGAGTTTGCATGCATGCAAACTCGTTTGTTTATTATCATGTTAATCCTACGGGAATGGCAAATGAACCGAGTGCTCCAACTGTGTGCATTAGAATAGAATTGTCGGCACTGAAGGAATAAGCCCATGCATGGCCTGTTTCCGATTCATTTACTTTTCGTGACTTGATTCACAAGGGATCCGGCCTTTGGAACCCGATCTTTCCATAGCTGACGATTGATTGAGATAGCTGCTGGACTTATTGCCTGGTCCGTAATTTGCTAGGCATTTTAAGACTGAACATATGCTCCTGCATTGCTTCGTCTGGACTTATTGCCTGGTCCGTAATTTGCTAGGCATTTTAAGACTGAACATATGCTCCTGCATAGCTTCGTCTAGTGCTCTAGTCTGTTCTTGAAGGCGTTCATACTCGGAGCGTCAACGATTAGATGAGCATTCACTACCAGCATGTTCACAAACTGTTGTGTCCGTTTTATGCACCTTTATCCTAAAATAAGCATCAAACTGTACTTGAGCGATGAATTGAAGCTTTGTGCGAAGCATAGTATCCTCATCAATGTTTATGATGTCTTCGCGTTGAATTTTGACTCGGTTATGAAGTTTGAGGAAGTTCAGCTTATGTTCGTAATTTTAACGCATTCATTTTCGCTTGCTAGTAGCAATTCCATGTATGAAGAATAGGATTTGTTGTGATGTGCACCGAATCGTTTTTAAAGATGTTTTGAGTTTACGTAAGCAACGTTTATTAGTATAGTAGTTTAACTCGGCGCCAAAGATGAAGACTAAATGAACGCCTTGTGTGGTGAAGCATTCGGCACTTGTAACAGGCAGTGTAACAGGCAGTCGACTAGCTGAGTGCAGATAATGTACTAGTAACTATGATACTTACGCAGTTTTTTTTTCAGGATTTATTTGTAAAATTTTCAGCTACGTTTGCTCTGTAAAAATATCTACTCGTTTCTTCGTGTCTATGAATGAGATGTACTTCTTTCACGTCGTGTGTCGTTTGCAGTGAAATCGCTCTACTTGGCGCTCCATAACTAACGCCTGAATATATAACAGCTTCTAATTAACAACTGCTTCTAATTGCGGCAATTTTTTTTTTATCGACTTTTATCAATTTTTTGCGTGAAGAAATCATGACGATTGTAGCATTTTGTCTCAAAAACATACCCATCAAAGAATGAGTTCGGCTATGTTGATTGGATTAAGTAAAGCATATATAACGTAGTTCGTAGTGGGCAGGGTGGCCCAGTGGTTAAAGTTCAGAGTACCAAGATTGGCGCAGAGAGGCGCGGGTTCGATCCCAGCTCTGTGCGCCAGTTTCTGGTCAGAATCGGCGAGGAGGCCGGGCGGTTAAGCACAGCAGAATTGTAGCAGTGAGTTGCGCATTCGAGACCGCAACAAGCTGTGAATGTTCTACGATGTTAAGAATCGACGACAGGCCTACGGCCTACTAACGCTGAAACCGCTATTATTATAACGCTCGCCAGCTTCGACGCAAGCTTAGCTATCGTTAACGCTTTCCGCCTCACTTCCTGTAGTTCACCAGAATTTTGTGCCTACTAAACTGCTTTAACGAAAACTATGCTTTAGGTTCAGGAAATTTTAGGAATCACTAAATATTTAGATTTGATTGTTCTCATTGTTTTTATCGTGCGAGATAAAAATTCTCCATTTTTGGCCGATTAGGTCAATAATAAAATGGCTCTCACTCGAGACTAATGTATGGTTTGTGATAGTTTCTGTCCGGTAAATGCATTGTGTCGTAATTCACAGTTTGTTATTATTGATGCGGATTGTTGTCACAGTGCCGATTGGTTGTTCTCTTTCTGTTCTAGGAAGAGATCGTCGAGTTGGCGCTCCGAGACCTCGGCCTGATCTAGAGCACGAGACTCTACCTCGATCTAGAGCCCGTGACTCGATCTACCTCGATCATAGAGCGCGAGACTCGAAGCTGCACCGCGACGTTGTTACTTTTGTCTTCGTTTCTTGACGCTCATTTCACAAACTATTTAAATGCAGCCTCTTTTCAGCGTAACTCAGATCACATTTGTGGGTTTCGCTGTCTAAAATGAGGCAAAAGTCATACATATATTTTTCTTCGATGAATTCTTGCTATACGCCCACTCATGCAGGTATTTTTCTTCGCCTCATTGGGGTACAAGTCAAGTTATTTTATTTATTTGTTTTATTAGCTAGCTTGCGTCACAAGCGGAGCCGTCTGTGTGTTTTTATTGCTAACTTTATATACAATTAACCAATATTTACCCAATATTCCATTAGTGAACATGCCAGTAGTATTTTTTCGAAATGACATTTTTAATTTTAGAGAAATGAGTGAGACACAGTGAAAACAGTGATGGGTTTAGCTTTTCAAACTAAACCCACAAATCATAGACGAGATATCAGCCGGTACGTGTATTTAGGCCGCAACATGTCCTTAGCGGGTTCAACAGTACGGTCTCTAATACTGCTCTTACAACGTGTGAAGAGTCGCTCATAGTAGTGGAGTGCGGTAGAGCGCCACTGTATGCGCAGTGATGACGGCACCGGCATGAGAGGAGCTAGTCGTGGGTTCGAACCTTGATTGCTCAGTTCATTCCTCGGTGTCACTGACGGGCGGCGCTTGGTAGCCGTAGGCAGGTGGTGCTTGCAGCATGGCCAATTGGGTGTGTGTCCCTAAACGAACTCTTGGTACTTGCTACCTGGGGGGGATCTCAAGGTCTTGGGGAGCACGTTAATGCAACGCGATGTTAGCCTTTGGGTTTCTCGCGTACTTTGTGTGGGATTTTAAAATATATAATTATGGAAATTGCATCACAGCCGCATAATATTATTTGTTTTGCATTATTATGTATACGCGTTATAGCTGAATGTTTTGTAGTTGGTGTTAGGAAGAAGAAAATCATTAAGGTCATTTGACGGTGATCCCAAGTTAAAGATATCTCACACTAGTAGGTATTCATCCAAATTGTTGTTAATCGAACTTGATTCGCTTACAATGACAACGCTTACATTTCTTGCCGTTATTCTAGTGACGATAACTTTTAACGTGATACTGGTATATTCTATTGCTATTTATTACAAGTCGCGTCATATGACTTGAATGTCCACCCCGCACTCACGGTATGTTGGTGTGGTATCATCGATCTGAATCTGCAGTCCGTATCACCATTTGATGATCTCGCAGCAAAATCGAGATTTTTGTCGATAAAATTTCGGTCGTTTCTACTTCAAAACGAAAGACATTAAAGATCGAATGTGTTTGATCATGTTTGTTGAACGAACAAAGTTCTTTGTTCTTTAACACCGGTATTATCAAATTCTGTCACGATTTCAACTGATAAGCCTCTTCTAACTTTGAGCCGCCTTCTATTTTAATACTACGGTATTTACTCTTTTTTATTTTCAACTTCTTTATTGATTCGCCAATCGATTTCGACTGCCACTCCTGCGATTATTTTGATGTGAACGGAAAAGATTCTCTTTGCAACCGCCATCGTTAATTATCCATATAAGTGCCTTAACTGAAGCAATAAGCATTGTGATTGACAATCTAGCATAATTATTGTACTGAATTGAAGCCATCATTGGCTTTGACATTTTTCTCTGTATACTTTGGCTTAGCATCCCATATGCGTTTAAATTGATAAGTTTTTCTGAGAAATTTTCTAAAATTTTTCAATCATAATCCATCGATGATATGATGATTAATTTTAATTTCTTAGTGGCAATGAAACTGTTAAACTGATTGGGACAATCCTAATCTTTCCGGGATTTTATTGATAATAACAACGAAAGGCAAGTTTAAACGCCAGTCTCGCTTCCATTCATAGACGTGACGTAGTCATCGTTCTAGCGGCGTCCACTGGGGAAGTCGTGCGGTGACATAAGATCCAGAGTTTATTTCTACGTCATTCCAAAAATGCCGCGCGTGATAAATTATAGAAATCGAAACGTTCAACGAAATAAATTTTATGGTACATTTGTATTTTAATTTGTTGATACGTCTCCGTCAAATGAGGTTCTAAATGCGGCTCAAAATTGCAATTTTTATATCGGTTACGAGCTCGCGATGCGTATAAAAGACTTGCATAATGATCTGTGAATGGCATTCTTGTGTTAGAATTTAATTGCATTATTTGGTATTGTAAGTATGTTACTCGTTATGAAAATAATTCACTAATAATTCAATGTAAAACTCCAGTTTTGTTAATTATTGGGCAGAATAAGTGAGGCATAATACCTGCGTAGTTTTCTCTTCTCGCTATAACTGACAATAATATGTGTGGTCACAATTTTTGGACCTAATTTAACGTTGTTAATTTATATTTAATGAAGACAGTATTTGACGAGTGCGTTGTGTAACCTGCTGGCGATAATTCATATTGTAAAGGCTTTTAATCGATTTAGATATGCTCTTAATTGCAAACAATGTGTGCATTTACCGTATCCTGCTAAGGGCGAAGCGGTGGACGAAAGACTGCATTGTGGATACAAGGATTCCTTGTATCAGGATACGAAAGACTGCATCGCCTGAGATACAAGGAAGTTGTGACACCGATTCCTTCACAATTGGCGGCCATGATAAACTGCCGTTGATGGTGGTATTTTTCGGTGGAAAAATATGCCGTTGATCGTGGTTTTCTTCAGTTGACAACATTTTGAATGATTGTGGTTTTCTTCTGAAGAAAAATTTGGCGATGGCTGTAGTATCCATCGGAAATGGTTGCAATTTTCGGGTGATAATGGCTGTCTACTGAAAAGTTTTCCGATGGCGTACATATAGTGCTTAAAATTTTTTTTGAGTATTAGTCAGAAGTATCAATTAAAGATTATAACAAATTTTCAGCCATGGCGATGCGTGAATTTTCTGTCTGAAATAACCGCCGGTGTTAGCTGAAATATCGTCACATTCTTGTGCCTTATTATTAATCACAAATATATTCAGCTTTGCCAACTTAATTTGATTCCCTCCTAATGATCCAGTAATCTAGCATCTTCCTTCTCCGATTACAATATCGATTTCCTAGTAATTTCTACGTATTCCAATATTACCGTCTTTGGGACATATCATTATTCAATTACTGGCATTATGTGCTTGGTACGAGCCGCGCTCGAGGTGTTTAATGATCATTTACTGTAAAGCAGTGAGAAGCTCGGCGAGAGGTGTCACTGTGGTGTAGTTTGGCAGTGAAAAGCAGTGAGCAGCAGTTCGGCGAGTTGTGTCACTGTGGTGTAGTTTGGCAGTGAAAAGCAGTGAGCAGCAGTTCGGCGAGTGGTGTCACTGTGGTGTAGTTCAGTAGTAGTGGTGTGCTGTGTTGCTCAATTCTTCTCGAAGTTAACAACTACTCGACTAACTTATTAGTGCTGCAACTAGAATAAATAAATCTCTGGTCGTGGGCATTTGATCTATTTGAATGAAGCTTGTCTTGCTAAACGCGCACTGAGTTAGAAATTAGGAAGATGGTAAGTTTGATCTTGTACTATCTATCTGAGGTACAAGTATTTAATATCTATTATGAAATAAACTCCGCACTGCTTTAATCTTCTTGCTTTTCTGTTAAATAACCAAATAACCTCGGCGGAGTTAGTGGTGGGATGCTCACAGTATTCGGCTCTTGCTGGTTTCAATTAAGAATCTTGATTCAGTTCTGAAAGAATATTTGGGTGCGAAGTTTGGTCTGCCAAGAGAACACTAAATAGTCTGGCATCTGCACGATACATGTTGCCGTTACGATACTGATGTGTACTGTGAGAAATGGGTTGCGGGTGTTACTGGCACTACCGTGTATACACTACTGGGATGGATAACCTTTTTTATAATTATTTATTCTACTAAATTCTTCTGAATGCCTAACTCATTAGGCCTCCTCATATGAGAAGTCAGTGAACGAATTTCAAAGGTGTAATTTAGTACAACCTAGGGCGCCGCGATGTGCGATACGGCATGTAATCTGTTCGATGTGCGAATGGTAATGTGACATGTGCGTGTGCAAGGGTGTGCGAAGTGTGCATGTCGTGTGGCGCGCGCGTGCGTGTAAGGGTGTGCGTGTCATGCGACGTGACGTGTGTGTTAGGGTGTGTGAAGTGTGTAAAAGAATGTGTGACGGGTACGTGTAATTGTGTATGGCGTATCATGTAAGTGAGACTCGTGTCTATTTTACCCCGCTGCTATAACGTGCAGGATGAGACACCGCCCAACGCTCTCTTCGACGAACACGGTCTCGGCTGAAGCATTCGTCGCCACATCGCCTTCTTCGTCGCAGCTGTCTTTGCAATAAAGTCTCCTTATTTTATCTCTGGTGTTCCTCACAACCCATGTATTCATTGCAAGGTCACATCGGGATGAATTTTCCTCTCCAGATAGGCTGCGAGACGACATAAGTTAAACCTCATCCTAGTCAGCCTCTGTGGGACTTCTGACGTGTCTGTGCGCGTCAGAAGTCTTATGGGATTTCGCTCTCCTAAGGGGATTGTTCCTGAGCGCCCCATCGCTGAGCTCGCGGTGTCTGACTGCAGATCTCAGTCGTGGGGTTAAGTGATTAATTTAGGTAGGATTCCTTACATTTCCCTTCTCTGTCTCTCTCGTGCGGGCGGCCGACGTCCCGTGTAAGCGACCTCTTGTTCGAGTGTCATCGTTTCTGTTGCTTTTCATCTGTCCCTCCTTGTCACTTCATCTCTTTGAATGCTAACGCTGCTTCTTTCGAGCCAGCTTCAGCGGGCTAGACTATTGAGACTTTTGAATAACTGAGACTTCCTCTTTGATGGCGAGGTTATAGTTCGACCTCCGGTGCGAAATAGCTCGATAGCTGAGGCGCTAGCAACTCATTCTACTACTACTCGTCCTAGTCAGCATTGGTCTACCGCAGATCGTTCTATTCAAATAAATGGTATTTGTCTGAAGAAGATTATAAGGCAAAGGATTGCAGTATATTATCGTCTTATTACGCTTATTATTCCACTGAAGCTAACTACTTGTTTGGCTCCAAATGAGCGCCGTCAACGCGCTTGTTAACCAGAAAATTTTTCTGTTGAATCCGGTCTTTGTACGAGGCAAGCGTTGAAAGTGAATTTATTTAAAGTGAAGCGATTTCTAAAGATTGTTCCTCTTTTTCTTTAGCAACATACCACAAAGAATCGTAACTCGTAGGAGTCACTTAGTCCAAAAGGTATGACATTTAGGGCTTTAGTTATTATGACTTTCATAGTAGATAATGCAAAGAGGGGACATAAATGAATAATAAATGGTGATTCGCGGGGCACAAAAAAAAAAAAAAAACGGCCGCTGAAAAGGCCGAACGTGTGAATGGAACAAACAGGCCTGAAACTCGGTAACAAACGACTGATGAGTCACAGCATGAAACACGAATGGTTATAGGTTGAGTATAAAATTTTGCTATTTTTACATTGTATTTCGTACAAAAATAACACTTGACTTACGAGTTAACCTGACACTTGAACACTGACGTGACACGGGAGATAATTACACGCGATGGAATATTTTGGGGAGGTGAAGCTGAGCAGCCAAGAGCGCTTCGGTGGCGCGCGTCTTCTGCACACATCGGACATGGAGGCAACTCGCTTCCACAGATTGTAAATAAATTTCTTAGTAAGCATGAGAAAATTCAGATTGTCATCTCATTTATGAATGTAGTAAATGGAAACCACGCAGTGAAGAAATCCCATAGTAACCAGCCCGGCCTGTCTCGCGGCTCTGATTATCTTCAAAAATAACTCTTGACATACCCGTGGGAATAATGTGGCATAAAACGCTCATCTCAAATGTGTAAGTATATAATTCTGCATGAATCAATCGTCTGCAGTTAACGAGGACTTCGGGTTCCATACAAACTGCGCGTTGTGCCATCAACGAAAATAAACATCGATTTGAGGAGCCCATTGTAAAAGAATGCATGCATTCAACGTGATGGTAGGTAGTTCATCCTGCAAAACGCTAACCTCGGAAACTGTTACGTTACAGTGATATTTTGATCGATGAGGTGATGACGATACATATTTCTGTGGTGACGCTAGGTGATGATGGTTACTGTAAATCTGATGATAGATGATGAACACTGATATGCATTTTCTAATGATAGATGATGATGATGATGTATAAGTGAGGATGAATAGCTGACCGATGGAAGTAAGTATAGTGATATGAAATAATACATTTCATGTTACTGGGAGTCTGAAGATGAGGAAGACGATGAGTCTGTGCTCATAACCTCGACGTCGTCCTGCTGCTTCTTCTGCACGACGGCTGTAGTGTGGGGGGTACCTCCCCCCACTCCCACACCCCCACCTCCCCCCGTCACGATGGCGCACTCCCCACTGGGCTGCCACGCGAACATCCCCACGCCGGAGCTGTTCGAGTCTGAGCAGCAAGAACATCGTAAAATATACTTCATCTATAATTGTTTCATTTTGTAGTTGCGCTCATTATTTTCATTATCGTGCAGTTGAGACGTTTTAACACTAGAGTGGTTTTTTTTTGGTCGATTACTTGCAGTGATGTTGCTTTCATTGTGAAAAATCCTTATAATTCGCATGAAAAAAGACGGTATCTTTCCGCTATTCTTACTTTGCTATCATATATATACATACACACGAGTGCATTCTAGACAGTACAACAAGTATTTCTGATATCGAATATTTAAAATGTGTGTAAAGTATTCACATTTTTGCAGCATTCACAACTGAGGACCGACGATAGTAGGAAGAATTGTGATCAAATTATTAATATTAATTTTGTTAATTAATAATATAATTTGATAATTGTCACCTGTGCTGTGGTGTCGCTGAAGCAGCGAGTCGCTGAGGTGTTGCTGGGTGTGCAGTAGCTGGCAGTTCTGGCCCAACACTCCCGCCCTCATCTCAACATCTGCCAACACATACACTTTATTAATATTGAAACTAATAAATATTGAAACCAATAAATATTGAAATCAACCCCTTGTCTACCGACTAATTTTTGTTAGTTCAACGTCTGCCAACACATACATTTTATTAATATTGAAACCAATTAATATTGAAATTAACTCTTTGTCTACCGACTAATTTTTGTTAGTATAATATAGCATTAATGATGAGTCATGCATCTGGTGATGAAGAATTAAACCTATGCTTCAATTCAGAACTTGAGCAACTTACACTAGGTAAAACTTAGATCATAGAGACAATAAATGCGAGTGTAATTTAGTTAACACATGTGATTAATGCCATAATTTACCGCTGTTGCTGCGCTATATGAAATCCTTTATAATAAACTATATTACAATAAAAAAGCTACTAAACCATTGCGCTATATAAAAACTAGTACATAACATAAAAATCTACTAAATCGCCGATAATTTCGTACGATTACCAGACTTCAGGATATTCCATTACCAAAAATGTGGAAGGCAGTCATGAGTCACTATATAAAAAAATGAACATGACCAATTGAAGAAACTTTTTGCCAATTGCAATTAAAAAACTCCTAATTATTCATAAGAAATATAATATCAAGTTACCGATAGGATAAGGTCGCCGCGGGTCACCCTGCTGCCAGGTGGCAGGAGCAGACACGGCGTTGGTGCTGCTGATGCGGTGTGCGTAGCGCACGAGCTCCTCGGAGTTCACTGGCCGCTTGTTAGCAGCGCTGATTATCTTCAGTTTCTGCCGCGCCTGATACAAGCCCATGCTCTGAGGGAAGAGTTACAGTTCAGTCCCAAGTTTTGGCAATAATTGTACTTATCTAAAATTAATCGTTTTCAATAATGTTCAATTTGTGTACATTGTGTCTCATGCAAAAAGGTTATTTAATTCTTGTATACTTATCTTGTCTAAAATTAATCTTCGTTTTCAATGATGTTCAATTTGTATACATTGTGGCTTATGCAAAAAAGTTACTTGATTGCGCATCAGCAATGCTAGCTCTTTGGTTCTTTGAAAATATATATTACATATTTCAGAGAAAGATTTCAGCAATTTTGTTTTCTTCTATATCTTGTTCTTTCTCACTATCTAATAAGATTTCAAGAACATGTATAAAAAATCACTTGAATTATGATGTTGCTAAATGAATTTTTTTCTGGGTTAATGAGGATATTTCTATCTTGCAGTGACCAGTTGAGGAATGATCTAACATTTTGTTGTGCTTCATACAAGTTCTGAGATGGTCATTTTTATTAGAAAAAAGAATGCTGAGAAATTTCTGAATAACCTTCCTGTTGTCTTTATCTCTGGTATAAGCCCTATGCCCTCTGGACATATAGGGGGAATTGTGGGTCATTTTGACCCGAAGACAACAGCAGGGTTGAGGCAACTCATTTTTTTCAACCCTCTTTGTATAGCTACTACTTAAACTGATCTTCAATAGGCATCAATCAAATCATGACTTATTTATTAAGTATGGCATTTGCACACCCAGACTTACTAACCAATTTATGATGAGCATCATAGAGTTGCTGTTCAAGGTTCTGTATGGCACTGTCCACCTTGGCAAGCTCCGCCTGTATTCCTGATATGACCTTCTCAACTGCAGCCTGATCACTGGCAACCTAAAAAACATCTTTATTTTTAGTATTAAAATTACTTCTTCATAATTTTCATCATTAATACAGTTATTACTAATGCAAAAATGACCCAATGACTGGTATATAATAGGAGCTAGAAAATTGCCAATAAATGTTGTTTTGTACTGGACTAAATGTACATACATGAAATGTAGGTAACCACTAAATGTAGGTACAACACACTCTCTGCACTGTTAATACCACAACTAACCAGATGATCTTTCTTAGTTTCCTCATTAGGACCTCACAAATATTTAGATATCAGCAGGAAAAAGTACATGCATTTGAGAGTAGAGTTAAGATTGGAACTACACCAAAATTTGTGGACAGATTTATAATTAAATTTATACTAGGAAGGACAATGTAATGAAAATTATCATTTGATTTCTGCTATGTGAATGCATCACAAAATTAATGTATGAATTTACCTTGATTGTCTTTTTAAGCTCTGCATCCTTTGCAATGAGAAGCTGCACAACTGCATGCTGCTCTTGTGGGGACAGCTTCTGATGTTTGGGTGCCACACTGTTGTCCACCAATTGCCTGCAAATCAACAGTTGCAGTAAATAAAATTATCAATTTAGAAATAAATTTACTCGCTTCTACCTATAAACTCTTGTAATAGAGGCAAAGAAGAATTTTAACCAGCACTTTTCATATTGAAGTGTAACCTTAATAATTGAGGGTTTACTTTTCTAGTGTCTTAATAATTTCCCAAGACTCAAGTTTCCTAGATGATGAACTGATGACCACTAATTATGATATCATTGATAATGTATTTAATGCCTGACTGACTTTTATGGGATCTAATGGATGCCATAATAATGGCTAATGATTAAAAGTATCAGAAAAATGATGCAAAAAAGTTGAACTGGCAGAAATATGCACTATCTTGCCAGGATTTATTCAAATACTCAAGTCAAATTGTTAACATGTCAGGTGATCTGAGGAGTAAAATTTCTCCAAAAAGAATAGGTGTATGGTATGTATAGATATTTCTGACTTAGGGAAAATCACCCATTTATCTGGTAATGTTTTCACCCTAGTGTCCTTAAATCACCTATGAAGGAATGATTGAAAGCCATTATTCTTTTAAAAATTTGCCAGTAATTCCAGATTATCTTATGATGTTAGGAGTCGACAAAGTGGAACTTGAGAAATGGTGGTTCATTTGATCAATATCAAATCAATTTGGTCGTATGCAAATCCAAAAATATCTTCTAAGAACTTGAATTTCAAAGAATAGGTACAGTTTTTAGATATTTGGATCCAATTTAATGCTTGTTTTTTTATAACTTCTCCCCAAACAATAGGATAGAATATTAGGCAAAAGTTTCCAAAAACCATGGGTAAAATAAAAATCATTCCACTAGTGGTTTTTGAAAGTCATGGAGAAAATATGCCTTCTTCCCAATTTTTTTAGAAAAATTAGGCAAAGGTTATAGAAATGGAGGAAATTGTCCTTGAGGCTTGACTTTTGAGCACTGGCATTTTTGTTGCATTCACTTGCGGCTTCTGCACATAGTGGAAAACAATAGATTTTTTTAGAAACAACTCAAACAAGTTAATTTAAAATTCCCTGATCTAGTCTAATATGGTAATCATTCAACACTCAATATGACAATATCTACCATCAAACGGGGGTAATAAGGGACAGTTATCCAACATTTAGTAGAGATGTAGCAGCTAAACTAATCAAAATATTGCAAAACTAAAAATAGGAGTGTAAAGTTCAACATTTTTACTATCTGTAGCATAAAGCAAAATAGAAATCATTCATTTAATACCTCTAAAAAAATCCCTGAAAAAAGTGTGAAAAGTGAGACTTTGTAAAAGCCTCTAAGGTCTAGTAAAAAAAAAAATTGACGTATTAAAAAATTCTACTTACATAAAAGTTGCACACATGTATTAGCTTACAAACATGATTGACAGAATTTGAATATCTCTTTATGAAAAAAAAGGCAGCCATTTCTGCATGATGGGATAATAAGGCACACCCCCCAGGGTAATAAGAGAGACCCCTAAAAATGCATTTACAGTAGAACCTCAGTTAGAAAAGGCTCCAGTTAACCAAAAAAATCAATTAACAACAAAAAATTTTGATTAGATTTACTTCGCTCAGCGAAAAAAATTGATGCATCATCGTTCATCATAAAATTGTGCATAGAAGGTCATAGATAGAATAGTGCACCGGGCAACATAGAATGAAAAGTAATTAACCTAAACTATTATTTATTTCTCCAAAACGTATGATGGTTTTCACTAAAATTTCCTTTCTGTTTGAGGTATGTTTTTTACAATCTTTTTTTGTTATAGTGAATTGACTTGACCCAATTAAAATTGTGTGAAATTACAAGCCATCCTGTGAGCTTACAGATACAGAATAAATGCTACATGGCAGCTGATATGAAGCTTGCAGTGGACAAGGTTGTTGTAGATGCTCAATGGTAATAATGGTAATATCACATCAATAAGAAAATAATGTATGGATATTGTAATTTCATATCAATCCTGAAAAAACAAGTAAAAGTCACAGAAAATGTCATTTATTCTACATCTACATCATCTACAAAGGAAGAGGAGGACTTCAGAGTTCTGTTAGTAATGGATTAGTACACTTTGCATGCTTCAAATGTTTTAAAATTGAGTTTTATTGCCAGTGCAGATTACCCCATTTCCAGGGGTAATTTGGACCCCATTTCCAGGGGTAATTTGGGACGCTTTTACTTTGCGTCTGGCACCTAATGAATAGCATATGGAATTTTTTTAAAGATGCCATACAGATACAATAGCCCTTGCAAAGTGCTTTAAAATGAGCCTAAACTTGTCTATGAAATGTTTTATGGTAATAAGTTATTAGCAAAAAATGCTCAAAACTGCCCCTTATTATCCGTTTGACCGTACCATATCCATACGTATGTATGATAGAGGTTGACACTCAGCCTCAGAGAACATAGACAAGTCAGCAGTGTGTTATCAATAAATTAAAGTATATAAATACGTAGCTTAAGCCGCCCGCCCATACACAAGAAATTGGTTTAATCTTGAGTAAATGAGGAAATTAAAAGTGAACTGATTCTAAAAAATCTCTGCTTTGCCACTAGGTATGGTTGACAGCCTGGAGTATGGAGTTGCTGGTATGATAATATACATGATACTTAACTACCGGTACTGTCTACTTATGGCCTGATAGGTCAAAAAAATCTTTTTAATTGCTGATTGACCAATATGCTTCAGCCCAAAGTCATAAACTTCCCAGTTTGGTTTGGTAATAGGGCTAGGGCCAGCTGCAGCTGGCCTCGCGCTGGGACTGCACGGCGTACGAGGCGCATCCTCCGGGTGGCGGATGGAGGGAACACCGTAAGGTGACGTGGACCAACGCAGTCTAAGGGAAGGAAACCCTGACAGAAAACCACTGGCCCTCCAAGCCTGGGAGTTGGGCAGAAAGCTAACAACCTACTCCCAGAAAACAATCTTGTTACAGAAACAAACAGGCAGAGAAGTCACTCATGGAATGGACACCTGTCAACAAGACAGGTGTCCATTCAATGATTGATTGAATCTGAAATGGATTTCAGATTCGTAATCTACACCCCAAAAAACATATAATTAAAAAAAACACCCTTTTTTTGGATGTAGTTAATCTGCAATAATACCGGAGTGACGTCCAAGCCTTGTGCACCTTATGGCGTGGAGAGAACTGAACTGAACTAAACAGCTGCAGCTGGTCAGGCATGGAATACATCTTTTTTCTGTTAGCTTCCAAAATGCCACTTTTGATTTATTACTAGCCTATTTTGCAAGCTACAAGATTCCTGCTAGATGGATTACCTAATTTAGCTAATCACCTCCTCCATTTTTAACTACAGTGCATGTTCAAACTAAGAGAAAGTTATCAAAAATATGCCAGTTTGGAGCAGTAATATTTTAGTACTAATAGTAATAGTAGCTAACTAGAAAGTTTTTAATCTTGAATAGGGCAAATTCCTGAAATGGGATTCAAATATTAAATAGATAGGCCTACACAGCTTTGTTCCTAGCTTCATCCAAAATAACTTGCTAGCAACTCAGTCACAAGTAATAATTGCAAGGTAAAAAAGTAAGATTCTATTCCAGGCAAGATTTAAAACTTCCTACTTATTTTTCAATATTAAAGATTGAGCTGATGACAATGTACATTTGCCATGTACATTCACATTGCATAGTGCACCTGTTCAAGTAGACTATATGTAATTCACTGAAATATTTAGGAGCACATAATGATAATACAACGAAAATGCTTACCGGCATATTATTTCAACATCATCAATGAGTGTGAGCAAAGTTTCTTTTGTACTAATGGTACTCATTCTGACGAACTGAATTTGTTTTCGACTTCTTCTTTGCAAAGATTTGAACTTCGGATCCGTTTTTATGAGGACTCGGTTAGGATTTGAACTGGAACTTATGCGGGGCACGACGCACGATACTGCTTCATTATCCTTGTAGCCTGTAGGATTATTTATAAGAAGGTTGCCTGCGTCCTGCCCTTACTAGAGTCAGTTTCCATTTACGCGCTGGCGGATAGTACAATTGTTTACGTGAGTCCGGATTTCAAAAAGCAGCGTTGACTCCCTCAAAATTAAGAGTTTTTCCAACTTTTGTGAGTATTTTTTCAACAATTTTGAATGAAATTTTACCTAGCGTAGTAGGTACTTGAGAAACAAATTACAATGGAACTATCGTTTGAAGTTTGTAATGCTTTGAAAGCTCTATCGTCGAGCCCTAAGGCCGAATTTGAAGCGGTGGTGGTACAAGCAACTGAAGACCTGATTGAAATCTCTCAAGAAGAAAAAATTGTTACATGTCAAAGCAAAGGTAATGACTGTGCTGCAGACTAATAAATATATATGTTCTCTTATTCTTATATAGGTATCTCAGTTTTACCTACTCTATCATCTATGGTCTACCTACCATTTTTCTGTTTATGTACAGCAATCCCTTGATTAACGCGGTTAATAAATCCCCGAGTTTTACCGTGTTAAGCAAAACCGCGCTAATCAAACTTAAGAATATATGGGAATAATTATAATGAATCCTCAAAAACAGCAAAGGAAAGGAAAAGTTTGATAAAAGTGAGCAGTAGATATGGCAGCGATCTTGACCAGTTGAAGGCTAACAAGTAACTAGCCCTTTACGCACTGAATTATGTTTCGAAAGTGAAAAAACAATCTGAATTACTTTTCAGATCACGCGCAGTTTTTGTGTTAAACTGGCAGTAGCGACGCGCCTACTCCATCGAACGTCGTTCGAACGAGTTCACAACATGTGACGCTACCGTCACACTCGAGGGACCTTATTTAAAGAATTATTGGCTGAAATTCATAAAGTAACAACATTTGGCGAATTCTTCCAAAAGTCGTAACAAAAGTAACAACATAAGATCTAATAAGCAAAAAGTAACACTTTTGTTACGAACGTAACACCTCTGGCTAGAGGCGGGAAAATGATGCGTTGTGAAAAAAAAAGTCGCGCTAATCAAAACTGGCACCGCGTAGATTAAGGGTAGGTCGCAAATTTTTTTTCCGTGTTAATCAAAACCGCGGTATTCAAAACCGTGCTAATCAAGGGATTGCTGTACATTACAATGATTACATGTCTGACAAAATGAATAAAATTTTTACATTTTAGAAAGATTGAAGTCTGTACCTACTCTGTGATATTCTTGCCTTAGGTTTAAATAGGTATTTAGGTAATCATAGAAATTAAAACAAAATGAAATTCTAGAAATGTTTAATATGTTTTTGATCCACCTTGGTCCTTGGCCTCATTTTCATTCATGGTAGAAGATTGGTGATTGACAGAGTTAGGAATTTAGGATTTGTCTTATTTTGTGCATAATGATAACTAATTTATGAAACTAATCTGCATCCATTATGAATTGATCTATGAAATAACTATCATCCATTATGGAATTGATCTGCATCCATATTAATTGACCAATCCATTTTATTTGGAATTATTGCCTCAAGAATTTTGCTCCATCATTCTAACAAAATAGGAATGAATACTGAATCTAACAACTGTCTCTTCATTCTTCAAGCTTTGGGCTGGCCCTTTTTTAGTATGTATTTTGTTTGCTACAAAAGCTCCATGTATGATATAGGATGTAGCCTACATGGAGCTTTCGTAGCAAACAAAATACCGTAAAATGGGGTAACTTTGACCACTTTTTTTCAAAACAATGCCATTTTTTTACTAGATAAGTTAAACTTAAATTGAAACATGCAAAATACAGGTCTATAGACTATACTCTAGCATTACTCACCATAAATTGCTGGCTCCTGCCTCTCATAGTTTTGATGTACCGTAAAATGGGGTAACTTAGACCACTTTTTTTCTTATAAATGATGCCATTTTCTTACTAGCTAAATTAAACTTGAATTGAAACATGCAAAATACAGGTCTATACTCTAGCTTCACTCACCATAAATTGCTGGTTCCTGCCTCTCATAGTCTTCATGTAATTTAAAAAAAGTGATGGTCTTTGTTACCCCAGCTCTTGGGGTAACTTAGACCGGGTGGTAAAATCAATTATTTTTTTTTGGTAAAATAACTCCAAATAACTCCAGGTTTTGGTGCATTGTAGTAGAACTCTTCTAGACTCTGACAGGCTTTAAATAATAGCTCTTTTTTGTGGATCACATTTTTAATTTTTTAACCTATTAGATATGCAAACTTTTTAAATCTTTCTATTGTGTTATGTAGCCTCAGTATTAGGTCTTTGATGGCCATTGACAAAATTTTTCTATGTTGAATCGTTTTTGAGTTTTGGGGGTTTTTGTTAAAAAAACGAAAAGTGGTCAAAGTTACCCTGCCGGTCAAAGTAACCCCATTTTACGGTACATACTAAGAAAGGGCCAGCCCAAATTATGCTTGCTGCAGCTCACCCAACATGTCTGCCACTGTGCAGAGAGTGGATGAATATTGCAAGATCTTTTGCAACGCTTCAGTAGCAAAATTTACGCCTTCAGAAGATTTTGCCAACACATTTAGATCGAAATTCTTGCATTTAATATATTTGTCAGTCTTTGGCCAACTATTTAGAAAAAAGTAAGGTTTCCAGTACATTGGATGGATCAGGATGCAGTGAAGCTTGTCCGGAAACCAGTTGTGATGAGTTCCTGCCAAAAAAATGTAAACAAGTTTATGATTGCGCAGTTGCGGTCACATTAGAGCGTTCAGACTGCATTATCACATGTTCAGTTGACATTTGCTGTACACTTGGACTGTTTTTAGGGTAAAATTAGTTATTTGAGGTAACACATGCATGCTACCTTGTAAATAAGTTTGTAAGTTTGTGGCTTGTAAATAGTTTTTCATTACTCAGCATAAATGGCTTTTCATTAAAAATTACCAGGTGACACATCTTGAAAATGGTTGGTGACGCTTTGGGCTTAAAAACCCATATATTGGCAATGCTGCTTCCACCCTCTGCACCCTGGCATGTAGGGTAGTACAATTGTGCAAGGTATCTTCTTAATTATTTAAGCAACTGTTATCTTTGTTCACAGTGTGCTGCAGTAGCAGTTCAAGCTATAGCTCTCTGCTGACTCTATTCACTGAGCTTTCTAAGCATCAATTGTCAAGCCAGCACCTCACAGAGCAGCTACAAGACTTGGATTGGCCACAAGGTGGGAACTAGCCTAACTGCATCACAAAAAGTATTCTAGTTGTTATTATGCATAAGAATGGTAGTACAATGTTACATTTTTAGTAGGTATGTGTAGAATATTTCTAAGATTAAAATCATTTTTAATTTGAGTATTGAGCACTTCATTGATAATCATACCGTATTCTAATAAATTTAATGAAAATCTCATATTATTGCATATTCAAATGTACTTCCAGTCTATTCCAAGACTGATGGAAGATGATAAATGTAACAGAATGTTCTTTACAGTAATTGGTCAAATAACTAATGAAGTAAATTTAATCTATTTATATATTCAGAGTTTGTCCAATTTTTTCAAAACAATCAATATTTTAGGTTCTAAAGAACAGCATGATATGACAGGCAGTTATGTCCAGAAGGAAATGTCTGAAGTTTTTGTGCTTCACTTTGATGCAAATGGAGAGGGGAGAAATGCATCTTAATGAAAATCTATGGATTCAATGTTTCATATTAATGTACTTGTATAACAGATCGCATAGCAAGTGTCTGCACGGCATATGAGAGTGTGACATCATCTGTTCGTTGCTGCCTCTCTTCAGTGGCGTCACTGCTACCGCATATAGTGGACGTTGACTGGAAACTGGTGCATACTGTATCTGTGAGTGCTGGTTCTTTATTTAGGTATTTATTTATATCGAATTGCAACCTTTAGTTTGACAGTAATCACATTTGATTGTGCATTTATTCTCTCCATGTTGGAATAACAATGAGGTTTTATACCAGAAAATATGTTTAATAAATACAAGTAAAATCCAGCATTTTCTTATCAAAGATAGAAGTTATAATTCATCCATGTTGTAGACTATTACTAGACAGGCAATTTTAGATGAACTAATCCCTAAACCTGTTTTTTTATAGTATGTACTTCTAATGCAGTACTTTTTCAGAGTACTTCTAATGCAGCTGAAAAAGAGAGCGTCTACCTTCTACGTTTCACCGTGCGACCTAGCAACATGGCCAGCAATGGTACTGGCTGCAGCACTAATGAGGCTGGTAGTGCTGCTAGTGGTAGCAAACCTAACCTTGAGTATATTACATTGCGATGTTCCTTGCCGGAACTCGTTGCTGTCACAGACTCTCTTAGAAGAGCTGTTGCCACTCTTAACAAACTTGCAGGCGCAAACTGACCATTTCTTTTTGCATATTTTATTCCTATTAATAAACAGGGACCGAGAAAACTGGTAGCTATCATTCCTATTAAGCTACTCTCTTCTACCTGTCAGGTCAAAACCTTTTTGTATTTCATAGCATTTATATAAAGTTATAGCCAGGGTGTATTTATTTATTAATTGTCATTGTTATGTTTGAATTGTTAGTTGTTGCCGCTGAATTGCTGTTAACCAACAAATTCCTACTTGGAGCTCCTCTATCGTTTCTATCTGGCTAAGAAGCTTCATCTTATCGTATCAATTTAAATTAATTATGACTAAACTGGAACACTTACTGTAGTGCAACTGAATTAATTTATAAAATAATGAAGTTGTATATACTTGCTTAATTCTTGCTGTCAGTTGTTCATGTTTTTCTATCACATTGAATCAGTCGATCCGGGATGAAGTTTCGATTTTTGATGTCAATTTTTTTCAGCTTTACTTGCCCGGTTGCTCACTATTGATCATAATGATTGGTTTGCTTTCTGTTTCCGCTGCTCGTTACTGAACAGTTTCTTCTCCATTGCTTTTAATTGCCGCATAAGACTTTTCCTGCGTTTCCTTGACATTCCTCGCTGAGTATTTGTTGTTTTCTAGACTCTAATTTGTTTCATTTTAGTTTCTTTTATTAGCTAACCTGTTGAATAATTATTCCTAAATATCATTAATTTTATGAAATTGATGCCACCTATTGATATGTATTTAAGTCACCTCATATTTTTTGGAATATCTACAAAATTTAAAGTTTCTAAATCGTATTTGGTATTGCAATTTAATTTGATCCATGAATATGTGGGGCCAAAGATATCTTTTTAGTATTGATCATGTGTATAAGGGTGACGTGTATATATAAGGCGTGTGGAAGTAGCATGAAGATATACACTTTATACGATATATGACATTTGAACTTCCATAATAATATTTGTGACGTTCTATTATCGTAAACTATATACTGAAGGGACTTCTCGGTCCCAAACCCCGGAACGGAAACATACAAATTTTTTAATGAATTTAACAGTGTGTGAGAAATTAGACAATCCTGTTAAAAGTTAATATAAAATACTAGTAGCAGAATAAATAGCAGTTGCCACTCGCACTTGCTCTTACCATTTATTGTTTTATAAGTCTGGTTGAGGTGTAAATAAGCGCCACACGTGTCAGTTTGTAAAATTGTAATAGTTGAAAATGTTTCATTTATCTTACCATAAAAAACACCACATCTTCTTCCCCACACAATCATTAAAACGACATAAAATATATTATGGCACATTTCAAGTTAATAATAGTTTACCACGGTGCTTATATGTTAAATATTCATAAAAAACGCAATTATTAATTGTCCAGCACTATTCATTCAGCATGAATTTATCAAGAGCTGTGGGTGATTTTCACTGCAGCATCGCACAATGTCGTGCGCTGAAATTATGTCTTCAGGACTATCATGGAATGCGTGAGAGGAATGCGTCCCTCGTCCAAGAGGGAGGTGTGTCGTGGTATGTCCTATGGGAGTGCGTTGTGTCGTGGACCTGGGGAATGCGTCGTGGGGTTGAAAACGGTAGTGCGTCGTGGGGTTGAAAAGGGGAGTGCGTCGTGGGGTTGAGGGGGGGCCAGGGGAGTGCGTCGTGGGGTTGAAAAGGGGATTGCGTCGTGGGGTTGGAAAGTGTAGTGCGTCGCTGGGGGATCAGGGGAGTGCGTCGTGGTGCCGTATATTTTACGAGGAAGCGGTTACAGTTTGCTGAACTTCGTTGACATGTCAGCTCTGAAAGGAAAAATTATTTTAGTGCTTTTTATTAAGAAAAATTATATAGGTATTTTAAAGTTATTTTACCGCGTCAATATTTTGTTCCTAAATTAGACTATCCCAGTTCCGTTTTTTCTATTTGACATGGAACAATGCTATTCACGTTGTTATAAAAACTTCATAATTGATATGTTCGTGTTTGATAAATATTCAATAAATATTCAAAATATTCAAGTTTGATAAGTATTCAAGTATTAAATATTGACATTTAAACGCGAAATTTAAATATTGTCAATAAATATTTTAAACGCGACATTTAAATGTCAATATTTAAATATTGCCATTTAAACGAAACATAACGAACAGCTAACTAAAAAGTTCACTGTAAGAAACAATTGAGTCACGTGAGCTTACTCGAAGACACGTGCGCGAGGCCACCGCGTGTACATGACATTTGGCGCCCAAAACTGAACAATAACTCACAGGGCGCGGCCGTACAATGATACCAGCAGCCAAATAATAGCATCGATAAAAACAGCAGCCATAATATGACATTTGGTGCCCAAAACTGAACAATAACTCACAGGGCGCGGCCATACAGAAGGTGTCGTGCCTGATGATAGCCGCTCTCTAGCGCCCCGTGCACGGTAGAGAAGTGACGCTCACTGTTGGCTTCTCCTGCCACCGCCAGCACTGCCACCTGGCGTTAGGTAGAGCAGTGGTAGAGGTGGGGTAGTGGTAGGAGGTGTAGTAGTGGTGTGAGGCGGGATAGTGGTAGGAGGTGTAGTAGTGGTAGAGGTAGGGCAGTGGTAGAGGGTGTAGTAGTGGTAGAGGTGGGGCAGTGGTAGAGGGTGTAGTAGGGGTAGAGGTGGGGCAGTGGTAGAGGGTGTAGTAGTGGTAGAGGTGGGGCAGTGGTAGAGGGTGTAGTAGTGGTAGAGGTGGGGCAGTGGTAGAGGGTGTAGTAGTGGTAGAGGTGGGGCAGTGGTAGAGGGTGTAGTAGTGGTAGAGGTGGGGCAGTGGTAGAGGGTGTAGTAGTGGTGTGAGGCGGGGCAGTGGTAGGAGGTGTAGTAGTGGTGTGAGGCGGGGCAGTGGTAGAGGGTGTAGTAGTGGTGTGAGGCGGGGCAGTGGTAGAGGGTGTAGTAGTGGTGTAAGGCGGGGCAGCTGAGTGTGTGGACACATCGTGGTGTAAATAAATCTATATTCATAACACGGCAGACTTCATACATTTGTGCTACCTGCGTTCCTAGTCAAGGTTTACTTTGTCATTAGCTACTAAAAAGTTGGAGGCAAAAGTCGGGGTTTACTTCGTCGTTAGCCTCAGAGGAGTAAATTAATTGCACATTGCATTAAATTTGATATTTCTTACCTGACTAAATCAAGTCATCTGCAAAGAATAAGGTTACACTGTCTGCTAACGATAAAATCTAGGGCTCAAATTACGATATATTAACTGAATTAAAAGACAGAATATTTCATCGAGAAACTAGTTAGTTAGTTAGTTTAGTGGCCAAATGTTTACTAGCGCTTCAGCTATTTAGCTATCTCGCACCGAAAGTCAAGATGAACATCATCATAGAGGTGGAAGGTCTCAATTATTAAATCCCCCTAGGAGCGCGAAATCCCATAGGACTTCTGACGCGCACAGACACGCGTCAAAAGTCCCCACTGAAGGGGATCGAGAAACTGTACGTTTCTATGATGTATATTAGCAGTAACGCTTAAACTTTGATCAGTATTGCTCTTTTCACTTGAAGAGACCCTAGATTAACATTTATTTAGAAAGTTACTTTAATACTTCAATGATCATCACGCACATGGCCGCCATCGGGGAGCTGAGCGGTGACAGGGGCGTTGAGATGCTCCGTGCTGCAGCCCCGGCGCTCGAACTCCACGGAGGGATGAGCGTAGGAGCCGCGCACCAGGGGGTTACTGCTCCACTGCGACCTGTGGGGATATATGAGCTTTACTGCACTACTAGTTACTGCACTGCTACTAGTTACTGCTCCACTGCGACCTGTGAGGGATATAGTAGCTGCACTGCACTACTAGTTACTGCACTGCTACTAGTTACTGCTCCACTGCGACCTGCGGAGATATAGTAGCTTTACTGCACTACTAGTTACTGCACTGCTACTAGTTACTGCTCCACTGCGACCTGTGGTTATATAGTAGCTTTACTGCACTACTACCAGTACTCGTAACTGCGACTGTGGTGGAACATGAGCTTCACTGCACTACTAGTTACTGCCACTGTGGTGGAACATGAGCTTCACAGGACTGCCTCCTAAAAAGAGAAGTTAAGAAGAGCCTACCACGTAGAGACTAAAGAGACACAAGAACGAGGCAGTTTTAATACAGAAGTGACTATGCGAAAAAATCTAAATTCAGGGACGCTAGGACAATAGTTTAGCGAAGCAATTTTACAATAAAAGAATTCGAAAGGCAAGGCTTTAATGCCCTCTATCAGTTCCAGGAGTTCGGGATACACTTTGCATAAACGTATCGCTTTGTACCCTTAATGGGCGAGTGTACAAGACACAAGATGCGCCCGCCAGTATTTACTAGCATTGGTCTGCAATTGCAAGATTTCGAGGACGATATCAGGATGTCGGGAGTCAATAGGATCGCGTGCTCCTAGAACATCCTATAGTAAAAAGATCAACCGGGCACCAGGGTCGATAGGAAGGAAAAAATCCTTTTACAAGCTGGCGAGGATGTGATGTTTAGCGAGTAGTTCCGTCGTGCGGAGACAAAAAGTAATAATATTGGAAATATAATTAATATTTTGAATATTAAGTATTAATATAATATGTTATTAATATATATTAATATTTATTTTAATGAATAAATAATAATATTCGAAATATAATTTTGAAATATTCTAAATTTGTACATAAAAAGAATAGAACCCACCTGTAGACTCGGGTGGGAGGCGGTATGTCAGGACGTCGTAGGAATGTCCTCAGGATGCGGGTGCACCGCTCAGCGACGTCGGCCTCCGAGGAGCGCTCCATGGCCACGGCCCCCGCCCCGCTCACCCACCCCGTCAGGCGCGGCGCTGCCCCGTGCGTCATGTCGAACCCCGTCACGTGCTCCTCCCACTGACATAATGACGCGTTATCAATGACATAATAATGCGTTACAAACTTCATTGTAACCAATATAACTTAATCATAATCATTGTTCAAACTTATATTGTAGTTGATTGCTCACAGTTAATTCTACTGACATGAACATTGATGGTGCATTGACACAATTCTAACCGATAGTTGAACCTTAAACAATGAGTTGAAGTTTAGTTATAAATCAAAAACAATGACATCATTAAAAATATTTAGAATAGAATAGAAGTGTCGGCGCTGAAGAAATAGGCCCATGGCCTGTTGCCGATTCTTGAACTTTTCGTGACTTGATTCACAAGGGATCCGGCTTTTGGAACCCGATCTTTCCATAGCTGACGATTGATTGAGATAGCTGCTGGACTTATTGCCTGGTC